AGTTTTTTAATAAAGTTAAAAAAGTTTCTTAACTAAGTTTGTAAAGTAAACTTTTAAAAATATTTTTTACTTAGAAAATATATTATTAAAATTAATTGTTAAAATTTTATTATAAAAATTAATTTTTTAAAAAAAGATGCAATCAAATTTGCATGCAATACAATTTAAGGAATAAGAATAATACTGGAGATCAGATATGTGTTTTTTTATATTTTAACTTATAGGTTAGGCTTTATTTTTTAGTTAATGATATCTATCTAGCATTAAAATAATCTACTGGTATCTATCAGTAGTAGATATCTACTGGTAGTTACCAATTAACATCACTAATTGTGATTATTAAATTCCAATATTTAACATGATATTTAATTTATTTTAGTATTAAATAATTATAAATATGCTTATTATAATATATTATTAGCACAAGCTTTTAATATTTATTAAAACTAAAATTAAATTAACAACTGCATTATTTAATGAAGCTACATATATATTTATTTAATAATATAAAAAATACTTTTATAAAGAGAAGAATTCATTTAAAGAAATGCCATTACCCAATATGAAGATGAAAGTAACTACATCAATATATATAAATAAATATTTAGTTATATTAATAAAAATATATTGAATAAATATTTGTAATTAAAAACTATACCATATTATTTATCATCTTTATTATTAAGGTCCTCTATTGTACTAAAAAAATCTACAATAGATGTTTGTTTCATTAACTTATTAACTTTCTGTTTTATTAATAGCAAATATTTTTGAAATGTTGCTATATCACTGTTATTAAAGTTATTATTCATTTGTTGTTTAACAAATAAAATAAAATTTTTTAACCCATTTAACCCTTCTAATGCTGAAATTTTTGAGGGCTCCTTGTCTGAATTATTTGAATCACCTTCCTCGCACTCTAACTGTTCTGCTATTACAATTTCAATGATCTGAGTATTATCAAGTCTTTCTTCTGTAGGTATTTGTATATTATTCATTTCTCTGTAGGTATCTATTGCTTGTGTGATATTTGGATCATTTTCAGTAAGATCAATAACCAATTCACTAAACTCGCTTTCTTCATATTTGAGTAATTCTAAAAATATATCTTGTGTAGGCTCAACTTCACTATCTAATATCAATGGCAAGATACCTGTCTTTCTTCAGCAATTCACTATTGTTTGCTCACCAACTTCATCTCATGATGCTGCTACATAATAAATCGCCTTCTTAATATTTAATTTATTTCTAAAAAAAAAAAAATATATGTAAAATAATAAAAGTTTAATGTGTATATAATTTTAATTTAAAAATTAGCTTACTTGAAATCCTGAAAATCTATTCCTCTTTTGAGTTGGTCTAATAAATGTTAAATGTATTTTTTTTGATACTTTGCTTTGAAACATTTAATGATGTCTGCATTCATAGGTTAGAGATGTGAAGTAGTAAGAGAAAGTAAAAATTCAATTCAAATATTTGTAAGGCAATAGTTAGAGAAATCAGGAACTATGTATATGCTTTGCCAGCCTGTGCCATGTTTACCTTTACTTTGTCATGTAATAGTATGACCTCGTTAACTTGTTAAAGCAGTATTATTTAACCTTGGGTAATTACGACCACATCTATTTCCATGATTATTTGTTCTAATAGGAGACAACTCCTCAATATCTTCAGAATCACTATTTTTATACTCTTCATCAGGTGGATTCTGTGAATTTGGACAGACATGACTTGATGCATTATCAAGCAAGAGTAAAATTTTTTGATTTACATGTTGAAATTGGTCATCAAGGTCTTTTAACTATTCTGCAAATATGTCACTTCACATACATGCTTTTGAATTAGCACAGTATATAACAGGTAATATAGTATGATTGATATGAGTTAATACTTGTGGTTCAATAGATGATCCAATTACCAGAAGTTTTAATTTCTCTGTTCCAATTGCATTACAGGCTAAAAGAACAGTAATGTGAGTACGATCCTAAATTATTAAATAATTAAATTTAGATATATTGATTCAAGTAAATAAACACTTAGGCTCTTTTTTTAAAAAAAACTTTAAAATAATTGATAGTCTAAATTATTTATTCAAAATTTCTAATAGATGAAAAGTAAGAGTTAAATCTTTCTAAATGCTCTATAGAAACCAAATTTTTTTATAATATATATTTAGAAAATAGTAAGATAAAGTGTATTTATAAAGGTCAAATATATATATTTGGTCAAAGTTAAGCATGCATTTAGAGAAGTTGTGATTTAAAGAAAGTACATTTAGGGAGGTTTTACTTATTATAATTATATTTAAAGACTCTAATTATACTCAAGGGATTAGAATGATTTGAGCAAGAAACTCTTAAATATAATTAGAATAGATATAAAAAAAATTTTTATAAAAATTTGAACCAAAGATTTAGACTATTAAATATTCTTAATTAATAAGTTTATTTTTCTTTTATAAGTCTGCATAAGGTTAAGATGCCAAAGTTTGATTAGATGCCATATGGAAAAATAATCCTGTCTCATCTGCAATAAATACATCACTTAATGCATATTTTTGAATAATATTTTGTAAATTTTATCAAGATTCTGGAAGGATTTGAATTGGTGCACTGCTAGCTTTTCCATGCAACTGAAAATTTCGTAAGCTATTGCACTTTTTAAATTGCCTTATCCAACTATTAAAAACTTTAATCTATCTTCAGGTAATGCAAGAGCTTTAGTGAAATAAGTAGCTTTTTTTTAGATTATAACTTCGGTCAGAAATAATTTATTATTAATTACTTGTTCTACCTACAGTTTCATCACTTGATCTAATAAAAGAAATTTAACACTCCTATGCTGAAATGTGCTTGAAGTAATTTGATTTTCATCAACAGCCAACCATTTGTTTTTTTCTTTTAAGATTTTAGAAATAGTTGTATGATCCAAACTTCGATCAGGATCTTGGATATTAAAATGCTCGACGATTTGGATTTGTGTTTTATTAGGATTTTTAATATGGTATTGGCATATTGCATTTTTTAGGGCATTACTGATTGCTGTATATGTTCTTTTAGTAAAAAGCTGATTAGACATTATTAAAATTTCAGTCTGAAATTCAGAAGTATTTCTATGACAGTAAATGCATATAATGAAAGAAAATTAAACTTTATATTAGTATGAAGTAATTGTAAAAGTATCTTATAGTATTCTTGAGTATATATACAGATCTTGTTTCATTGAGTGAAGAAAATGCAACAAAATACCACACTATTTGAGTTTGTTGATTTGTCAATTTAATAAGATATGTAATCAACAAAAAAATTTATAGCAAATACTTTATATAACTTTATTACTAAGAACAAGAAAACTTTATTTCAAGCTAAATTAATCTGAAAATAAGATAGCTGTTACTGAATTAAAAAATCTTGCTTTTATATTTAAAGATACATCCTATTTTTTCTATTATATCTAATGCACTATATATAATTAACTCATTGTTATTCATTCAGTTCCTTATTTGACCTGAAACATTTGATATTTTTTATCTAATTTTTTATTTTCACCATTTTTTTATCTCTAATGAACTCATGATTGATTTTTTTTTTTTTTTTTTTATTTATAATATCAAGTAGGAAAAATTGATAATACATGAGCATATCAATCAGACATAATTGTA